TAACTAGTCATCTATATTGAGCTTTTGATTTTTCTGCATGTTGCAAGTCAAGAGAACAGAGGAGTAGAATGTTCCCTTCCTGTCAGTTCCCTGTGCCTCATATTTTTGTCTGCATTACCTCCTGAAGACAGGTAGAGATTTAGCAATCTTAGAGCAAGATGTGTCCAAATAAAGACAGATATATCCCAACTTTTGTGCCAATAGGTTTTTTTTCCCCGTGTATTCATGTGATCAAGAGTTGATAGCTGGAAGAATTCTGAAGAAGAATGGGAGTAGATGGTTGTCAAATACAATGCTGTAGCCTTAGAATTTTGTTGGATATGTTTTTTCTCCTTGTCATATTTTTTAATGTATAAATGCCTATCTAAAAACAAATCCAGGTGAGAGAAACAATTTTTTTCAAGATGTTGACTTGTTAGTTGGTGCATCTGGCTAATTTCACAAAGGCTATGCTGCTCTTTGCTACAAAAACGGGACCCTTTAAGTCTCTATGTAGTGCTTAGTGAACTGGTGAGGAATATATTAGATAGCTCTGGTAATTTCATATAAGAAATAGTTACATTGGTGCACGTAGGGTAAGTGGGAGCAGCTGAAGTATGTAATTGAAGGCTGTTTTGCCCACTGCCAGTTGTGCATGGGGAGAAAATTCAGAGGAGAAAAAAAAAATAGGATAAAAAGGTAGTTGGAATTATTTTTAAGCCAAGTAAGAAACAAAACCTAACTAATTACTATTTCAGTATTTTAAGAAATGTGATTTATATAATTTAAACTGTACCTATTCTAGATTTATATTAGAAATTAATGATATAATTTTTGCTTTCATTTCTTTATCTTGCATCTTCCACCTTCACAGAGGTAATGGGAGTTTTCTGTCTGCTGGAAATGCTTGCAAAATTCAAAGGTATTAGAAAAGGTTAGGAAAGCAAAGACAAATTTTAAGTACTTCTCATTCTCTTATAAGTGTTTTAAGTGTTTCTTAAATACAGGGTTTTAAGCTAAGCTTTAGTGTAGAATAGTAGATTTAAATCTGTTTAATGCAATGTGTTACAATATTATGGTGGCTTTAAAAACAGATGGCTTTTGAGATAGAAAATACAGTGCTTAAGGTTCTCTAAGGTTGGGTGAAACTAACTTCCTCAGTGACTGTTCTTACACAATCATTCAGATCCTTCATTTAGTCACTCAGGGCAGTTTCTGATGACTGGACTCTTATCTGCCTTGTCACTAATGATCACAAAACTTCAGTCTGTAAAGATTACAGTTATTGGCAGTGATAGGGATGTGTCCTGATGTTCCCTTTAAGCCTGACCAGCTGCTAACTGTTACATTACCTTTCATGTGTACAACATGAAAACCACTTGCTGTTCTCCTTCACAAATGTCATTATCCCATCTGCTCTAAAGTGGTTAGAGTATCATAATCAATAAAACATACTGAGGTTCTAGTGCAAATTGTTTGACTATAAAAACAAATTAATGTGGGAAGTTTTAAGGTTTTGTAATATTTATGATAAACTGCTATCTGATTTTGGTAGCTATGGGATTATGCAACATCTAGCACATCCCAGGTGCTGCAGCAATATATTATTATTTGTGGAACATTAGCTCCAAATTGTTGACTTTCAAATATTAGCATGTTGTAATTCTGAAAACAAAATGCTTGAAACATTATTAGTATTCACAGCCTTGACTTGGTTTTGGTTAAGTGGGTTTATCTGAATAAATAGTATGTTGAAAGAGGGAAAACTCAAATGACTGGCTTGATCTCTCATGAGGAGTTCTGTCGAGGCAGGAGCCATGTGAATTCACTGGGGTTCTCTGCTCTTGTAGAGATGTGCTCCAGTACTCACTACAAGGTTCATTTTTCTTTGTGATTTTTCAGCAGCTTTTTTGGTTTGGTTTGGGGTTTTTTTAAATGGATCTTTTAAAATACTTTTTATTCTGAGGAAATTGTTCTAACAGTAACTCAGTGAAGAGCTATAGAAAAGGATTTGCTTATGGAAGAGGTTTGATTCACCAATCATTGTTTTGTATACAAGCACAGTTCATAAAATATTGCTTTCATGTTGTGTAGTATTGATTCAATCACTGCTTCCCTTCTCTTTGCCATTTAAAGAAACGTCCCTTTTAAATCTCATTTTATAGAATGCATCAAAGAAGTGAGTTAATTTTTTAAGTCTGTGGCTATGTGTATCCCTCTAACTTGCAAATGCATCGCAAGGCTGTGAGCAAGTCAGGCATGGAACTCTGCTATGGCTGCATTGAAGTACACCACCTCTGAAGTCTGGAGTAATCAGGAGGTGAATTATTGTTCTTTTATCTCAACTTCATCTTTTTATGTATAGTTTTCATTTTGCTTGAGTGGTGTTAGAGGGTTGGGGATGGAGAGAGTGTGAGAAACAGCTGCCTTGTGTTTGGGGTACAGCCCCCCTTGCAGCCCCGTGAGGAGTGTTCAGTGGGTAGGTGTTCTTTTTGAAATCAGGTGTATGGGGGTTTAATCGGCACCATTTGCTTTTGCAAGAAGCAGTGACTGGAACCTGCTGATAAAGCTTTTGCTTTGAGGCACAGATCCCAGAGTTCTTAAAGCCGTTTCCTGCCTTAATAAGTGAAACTAATTTTTGATGTATAACATTTATAAGCCTGTGAAACTGATAGGGCAGCTCCAGTATTTAGAAAAACGAAGCCAAAAATAAACAGATGATGGGTATAGACAGTAAAAACATGTCCTAAAAAGCAAAGGAATGTCAAAATGATGCTGTCAATATGCTATCATTATGACACAGTGAGAAAAGGTTTTTTTAAAATCAGATTCATTTGAAATCAGTGATGACTTAGGCAATATGCATAATCTAGCAGCTGTGAATGCAACACAGAATTTTACATCCTAAAACCCTAAATGATGCTGCTTTGAGGTTTTGGGGCTTTTGGTTTCCAAGTGGTACTTGTTGCAGGTTCTTTAGGGAAAATGTTATTGTACTGCAGTAAATGAGGCTTTGGGCAATATATTATTTGTTGCTTTCTCCTGGTTTGACAAATATAATATGCACAAATGCTGATTTGAAACCAAAACTTCACGATCTAGTAGTATTGAAGGTTTTGGACTGAGAGAACTTGGATACCTCCTGCATTTACTAGTGGCTGCATGTGTGGATTCCTATGTAGCTTTTGAGACTAGGTAAAATATGTTAGCCCTTTTATATTGGCAGCTGCATGTCTGTTAAAAAAATTGTGCTTATGTAAGGATGATGATACTCAGCCTGATCTCTTGGCAAACCTTACTGCAAAATATTGTCCCTTGTCTCCTATTGTCAGTTCCCAGGGTAGCACATACCTCCCTACCTGTGGCATCCTTGGCCATCCCCACACCATGTTCTCTTGTTTGGTGTTCTGCTTCCATGAGAGTTCTAGTGACCCTGAAATTCTTCATTTCATTATTTTATGTGTGAGTGAAATTATTCCTGAAAGAATATGGGTATCTCTGCATTATGTTGTACAGAATAATTTAGGCCATCAATAACTGCCTCTTCAGCTGGACTTCTTGTAGCTTGAGCACCTCCATGCTGTGATGCAGTGACAGTATGTAAGATCTGCACTGCTTTGATAAATGTATTGAGCAACTACATAATGCAGGTGGGTCATGCTGCTTGATCTTAATTCACTGTAGATTTTTAAGCACAGTAGTCTACTGAATTATTCTTCAATACCTACAATATGGTAGTATTAGTATTAAATAACTAGCAGTTCATTGCAGTGTGTGCATGGTATAACGTGCACAGTTATTGTTAGTTATTGTAATCCAGTTGCTGTCTTTGCTATCACATTCCAGGACTTCCAGCGTTGGCAGAGAGTCCTTCACTCAGTTTTGAAGTTCTGCTTTTGAAATGCAAACTAGCATACCTAAAGCTGTTTGAACTTTGCATTTAAGGATGACTTGGTTAACTTGAGGGATGCCAACAGAACCGTTAATGTTAACGTAGGAGTTACCAAAAAAATTCTGAGCATTTTAGAATGAAAGTTATTGAGACAATAAAGTTTATGTGGACACTTATGTGGGCTGAAATCAAATGGTGATGCCTTGGGGTAGGATGGCTGGGATCTAATGGCAACAGGTTCTTGGATATGTAGCTGGGAACAGACACTTGGAATTATGTCAGCTTTTTAAAGCTTTGTAAAAATCTTTTTGGAATAACATCTTGAGGTGTAATTAAATTGTTCCTACTGTGTTTGTGGGAATCTGCCTAGTTTGGTTTTTTGAAGGATAAATGTTGATGAATTAGAGCACTGTGACTGTGCATAGCTGGACATATTTATCTCTTTGAGTAAGGTATGTGGAGATACCTGGTCGTTTCACTTTGCTCTAAGTCAGTTTCAATTTGGAATGATACTTGCAAAAATTATTTTCCCAATTAAACCAAATAATCTTAAAAGATTCCCCCCCCCCAATATATATATTTTCCAAGCTTTTTTTTGTTTCCCCCTAGAGGAAGAGGTTTTTCCATACTGCTTTTATGCTCAAATCATGGTGCAGTGTCTCAAAAAGCAGAATGCAGATTTCTTACGGCTCTAATATTCTGCAAACTAATCTGACTAAAGCTCAAACTTTGCATTTGCTTGTGGTTTTTGTGTTAGCTGCCTGGTAGGTAGGTGCCACATTGTCTAAGAGCATATTAGCCTGAGGACTGTAACTTGAACACGATATAATGATCTTGACCATATTAGACTTACCTGTCAAAA